ATAGTTTTCGGCTTATCAGAAACTGAATATTTTATTTTTACAATTATATCACATACTAAGTCATTCAACCGAAACTGGTAACAGTTTGAGATTTGCCACCCCTCATAATACCTGTTATATTTAAGCAACAATAGCGCTTCAATATCAATGATCTACATTCTTCGTGTAGGAATTACTGTAAAAAGCTTGAAAAAAATCTAAAAGAAAATTCAGACAGGAAAATCTCAAAATACAAAATCTTGAATAAAGGGTGTAGTTGTGCGATGTCGACTGCGAGGTGAAGGAATGGTTGAGGATGAAAACGTGGCTGAGGATCACCTGTTTAATCACCAAAGTACTCTCACAACTCAGCTACAGCCACACCCGATGCTCACATCTATATTCTACAACCACATTCAAACTCCAATCATACCCAGTAAAACAGCTACACCAACCCATGCTCGCATCGATACCCAACACTCACCATAAATTCCAAACACGAATTCTATTGATTAAAATAAAACAACGGGACCCGCTAAAAAAGTGCTTGGTTTGAAAAGTTCAATCGGGCCGAGCCGGTAACCGCTAAACCGGCCAGCACGGTACTGATTCCAAGGGTGATTTGAAATTGTTAAGTGTAAAATTTTTGTTTTCTGCTTAAAAGAGCATGCAACAATTCTGGAAGTCTTAGGTGGGTCCAACTTCAAAAGCATTTTAGATTCAGTGTTGGTTAAGGACTTAGAAGATTGCTCTCATTAATTCATGATGTATGCAGCATGATGCAATTTGTATTTTTATGATTGTAGATAAAACACATTCAAGACAAGTAATTTGTGAGCTATGGCTTCAAGTAACACCGAACAACGGAAAATTGCTTTGGTTATTGGAAACAGTAATTACAATCAATCACCACTGGATAACTGTGTTAACGATGCGATAGATTTGAGTAAAGCACTCAAAAATATCGGATTCTCAGTGATCACCAAAACGGATCTCAACTACGAAGATATGGAAAAAGGAATCGACGATTTTTCCAGGTCTATTCGGGCAGGTGATCTCGTCCTGTTCTTTTTCTCTGGCCATGGTGTTCAACGTGAAGAACAGAACTATTTAATTCCATGTGATGATAATCGAATTCAAGCTTTTAGCGATTTGAAGTATCGCGCGATCAATGCACAACGAACGCTGGAATTAATGATCGACAATGATCCGTTTTTAATTGTGTATCTACTTGACTGCTGTCGCACTTATTGTCTGCCAAATGTACCCAAATCTAAATCATTGAGCTCATCATCAACGGGGATGGCGGCGATGCCTGCAAAAGCTGGCATGTTGATTGCTTTTGCTTGCGCTCCTGGTACAATAGCCGCCGATACAGCGCCAAACGGGCGTAATGGAATGTTTACGTACCATCTATTACGAAACATTACTCGACCAGGAGAAGATATCACATTGATGCTTATAGATGTGACCGAAGGAGTAGTTAATGATTCAAAAGGAAAACAAATACCTTACACGACATCTGCTTTGACAAAGCGGGGCATTTGCTTGGCACCACACCAGAAAAAACCTACACGACCAACTGAAGAACCAGAAAGAAGTGCACAATCGATTTTGACTTCAGCATGGCAAGGTCAGTATAGTTCTATTCTGATCAAATGAACAATCTCCAATATTACCAAAGAAAGCTCTCATCTACGAGTTCCATGACCTTATGTGACTTGTCGAAAATAGTTTCCTGTAAGATTGAGCGGACCTATTAGTAAGCATTCATAAGGTTCAATAAAACTGATGGTTGAAGAATACAGACGATAAGTGAAAATTGAAGACTAGGAAGTAAATGTACACAATTGACTCATTAAATATAGCTCTAATCCATAGATATTTGTTGAGCATTCAGAAGATCTTCGATGTCGAGTTTTGAATCTGGTTTGAACGTGATTGCAAACTCAGACTTACTTACAATTCTAGCATCATTTAAAAATAAAGGATGACTGGACTTTCATGCTTTCACATTTTTTATAGCTGAGTGTGAATATGGATCATAGATAAAAAACGAATCATAGCCGACAATACTGACCTGATTCAACCCCTGACATGAGCTTGGGTGTCAGTAGCCAAAAAGATGAATCAGGCTCACATCCACACATATTTACATCTATGTATCGACAAAATAGGCTAGTACGCGCAATAAAAATGATCTAACTACTCCTTCTTCTTTCTAATGGAGCATATTCAGATGAATTCATTAACTCAATGTCTACTATGACGTGGTGTTATAAATCGAACCTGTTCAGAATCTGCTGCGAAGAATCATGAAATTTATGTGCTAGGGAAAAATATCACTGTGGAAATGAATAAGTTGGCAACGCAACACGATTCAGTAGAAGAAACAAAATGTCGAAGGGCTTTTGTCATTGTTTACACTTATTAATCGAATTCTTTCCACTTGCCGTGCTTATGATGCCAAAGATCGTTCTTTCTCTGGCTATCCTTAACTCAATATCAAAACCAGAAATGTGAGAAGAAGATAGTAGCGAGTCACGCACTGTCTAGACCGTTGTTCTTTGTTGAAAGTTTGACTGATCTAAACCTCTAGATTGTGATCGGCTACATCTTATAGAACGGCTTACTTATATAATTTTTTTTTCGAAATATCATTCGTGTTTGATTCACTATGTAGATTCAAATTCTTATTTCTCTGTGCTAAGCAGAATAATATCTCACCAACTCAACATAGCTACAAGTGAGATCAAAAGCATGTGGAACACTACTTAGTAGTGTATCTTTTCCTGCATGATATTTTGATTGTATTACATAACTAGAAAAGAACAGTGACTTTAGATGAACGAGTAATATCTGTCCTCCATAACGAAGGCGTGGATCATTTTTTTTTGAAAACGAATAATTGCGAGGATTCAAGCGCTATTCATTTGAAGTCTATAATGAACTCGACAGGAACACAGCCGCCCTTGAGTCAGTCCTTCACTAAAATTCTCTCGGTATGTGTACGTGATTTTATGGGGCATATATTCATTCGATGTTCATAACTCCTCTTCTGAAGAGGCAAACACCATAATTCAACTTGCTTGTGGGGCTGGCAACTGGCAGTGGCAAATGCGCGGATATCATGAGAACATAAACCATCATCAGTAAACGCGAAAGATAAATGACACTATTCCAAAAACAAATAGCGATGCTTTATTTCAAACCTGTTTCGACGCTAATATTGACCATGTATGAGATTGATTTAGTTTTTTTCCAATCCATGCTACATTGAATA